GCTTCCCCCAGCAGCCCCCGTTCCCCTCCAGCTCTATGGGGTCTTTGCCACCCCAGGCCCAAATCCCCACCAGGCAGTTCCCCGACAACCCACTGTGGCTCTGTCACCTCAGAGGTGGCAGGAGTGGGGTCTGGACCCCCCCGTCAACAGTGGGTAGGGAAGACAGGCAGCCCCTGCTCACCCCAGCAGCTCACCATGCCTGCAGAAACCACGGTCATACCAGGGACAGCCCGTGGCACTGGTGGTGCCATCGATGTGCAGGAAGGGACAGTCCTTGTTGCCACACTCACCTGCAGGAGTAAAGGGTGGGACGGGTGGGACAAAGCTCATCCAAGCCAAAAGTGCTCAAGGATGGGCTGGGTGGGGGGAACAGAGGTGCCCCGGGAGCACCCAGGCTTGTTTTGGGGAACCATGGGTGCCGATGGCATTTCTTCCCACAGACAGGAGGTGGCATCAGGTACTTGCTGGAGGCCAGACCCGAGGGACGTGGGTGCTGGGGGGGGGGAGAATCTCATTGGGGTCCCCAGCCCGGGCTCACACCTACCGAATTTGGAGTAGAAATAGCACTGGGGCATCTTGGTCACGTCGTACTCGTGGAGGAAGTCACAGCCATCACCCTTCTTGCAGAGCCCCCGCAGCCAGTGCTTGCACACCACCGGCTTCTCCCTGCCCACGCGCCGCACCGGGCACCGCACGCCTGGCCCCGGCATGGACCTGCTGTCAGAGCTCACCCACATCCCAACGACCCCCACCATCACCACCCCCAGCACCCAGGAACCCCCCACCTCCTTGGATTGGGATGTGCTGGAGCTTTCCTGGATGTGGAGGAGATTTGCAGTGCCCTCTGAGTGCACAGGGCACGGACCCCTGGGCACCTCTTCCAGCCCCCCCAGTACAGAAGGGGTAGTTGGATTGGGATGTGCTGGAGCTTTCCTGGATGTGGAGGAGATTCGCAGCGCCCTCTGAGTGCACAGGGCACGGTCCACTGGGCACCACCAAGGTCTTCCAGCCCCCCCAGTACAGAAGGGGTAGGAGAACTGGTCCAAAGGGGCCGGGAGAACAATGGACTCTGAGCAGTGTTAGGATTTCAGGCCAAAACCTGCCAACCCACTGGCCATGGGGCTACAGGGCAATCTGCCACAGATGTGGGCTGGCCATAGAGCAGAGAGGGGACCCGGCCAGCTCCCTGGTGTCCCCAGGGTCTTGCAGGGTGGTGGTGGCCCCATCCCCACCACTCCCCAGTGCTCACCCTTGGAGCACAGCCCTCGGTGGAAGAGCTCACAGACTGGCAGGGGGAAAGCAGAGCAGGGAGACCTTCACCCACTGGTCCCAGTGCTGGGACCACCCTGCCACTGGGGGCACAGGCACCCTGTCCCCCTCCACCAGCAGTCCCCAGAGAGCTGTGCCCAATGGAGCAGTGCCCAAGCCATCCTGGGCAGGAGCCCAAGGGGGAAGGCAGGGCAAGAAGCACCCAGACATTGTGGTGGGTGCAGTGAGAGCCAGGAGCACCAGATGAGGAGGAGAACCCCAACACCTCCCACCCCCCTGTCACCCTCCAAGGATGCCACAGGACCCTGTCCCCAACTTACTGTCCGTACCCAGGAAGGGCAGGGGCTGAGCTCCTCGCTGCTGCTCCACATCAGCCTCCAGCTCAAACCTGATCCTCTCCACACCAGCCACCAGCTCCTGCATCACTCCTGCTCTGCTGAGAGCCACCTCCAGCCCAGCACAGGCAAGAAACAGGGCTACAAAGGGGCTGGTGGAGGAAACCACAAATCTCCCAAGGGAGCACAACACTCTGCAGGTCACCAGAGCCACCCTGGGCCCCAGCAACACTCAAAAACCCTCCTCCTCCTCCCCGAGTCAGAGCAAAACCAGCCCAGGCAGCAGCCAGAGCGCTCCATTTACAGAGAGAGAAGCTGCCCCACATCTGATCTCAATTTGCAGCCGTGATTGCCTGGTGCTGCAGCCCAGCTGCGGGGAGAGCTCAGCCCCGG